TTTTTTTTTTTTTTTTTTTTTTTTTTTTTTTTTTTTTTTTTTTGTGGTTCCCTCTCTTTATCTTTGGAAACGAATTTCATTTGTTGTGAGAACGGAAACTACATAGCATGCTTCGTGGTCAATAAGAGTCAAGGTAAATAAGAAATAGGTTTGAAGTCTCGGTGGTGTTGACCTAAGACTTGATAGCCTACAGCGTTTCACAACATTAAATGATTATCTTATGAACATAGTAACGATGGAATTAGACTCTTATGAGACATTGAACGTCGAACATTTGATGAAATTTCTTGCCTCACCTTCAGTTGAGAGGGAAGGTAGATTTGACTCGACTATCAGACTTGATCTTTAATCTGACACCAATCGCATTCGACATCCTACTTCAAACGGGTCTGTTTCAATAAAGACATTCCAACTTCAAAGACAGGTGAGTCGGATCAAGGAGTTTGACTGCTGGGATTAGATCAATCTATTCCGTTAAGGCACTCCTAATTTCCTTATTTTTTGATTCCTTTGAGAGTTTCATCATTTATCATTCACTTCGCTGCATTCTTCTTTCGAGTAGATCTGTCAGCATCTAGCCACCCAAACAATCTTGTTGAACTTTTGACAAACGAAGACAACTTATTTTGCTGAAAATTCTGCCTGAAGCCCACAATCCTACCCCATTTGAATTCGAGTTTACCTTTACACTTCAAACAACAGTCAAGTATCATTATTATTACGCTAACCATGAAGTCTTGAAGGTTTGTCCGTTATTACAATAAGAACGAAAGTAACCAAATAAGAAACCTTCTTATTTGTCCATTTTTCTAATGATCGATCTAGATAAGTTCCCACGAGCACCTCTTAGTTGTATTTACACTTTTCAAAATCTTGAAAAGAATCCAACTCGAAATCAAAGAAGTGATAGATATGGTGATCATGTGACCCTGAAACCCCCTAGCAAGCTAAGGGGCATGAAGAACACACACACAGAGAGAGAGAGAGAGAGAGAGAGAGAGAGAGAGAGAGAGAGAGAGAGGCATGTTCTACACAGGCTGTTCTCAAATGTGCAGAGCATGTGGGCGAACGTGCAAACTTATGAAGAGGCTTTACCATTAGGGAAAGATCCACACCCATATTATGCTATTTTTCTCCCCAATCGCCAACCAAACCAAAAGAAAAGAAAAAAAAAAAAAAAAAAAAAAACCTGAAGATTGCAGAGTTTAAAAGGCCCTTTTGGACCACTGGATTTCTGCAATACCAAGGACTCAAAACCATGCATAGCCTAAGTGGTAGGGTTACATGCACCTATACATATAATATATATAATATCAAAGCTGTGCTATTATTATATGTGTGTTTCTTTGGATGGTGGTGTTGAGAAGAATCAAACCTATTCACTCTTGTTCTAACCTATTTTCTTATGTGTTCCCTTAAATATCAACAAAGGTTTATAATAAAGTTTCATTTTAGATCGTTGGTCCTTCCCCTCATATCTGTTGAACTAAAATGTAGTTGAACAGTTTATCATATTACAAAACAGCGATTGGGTTGCGGTTAAATGTTTATAGAACAAGACTCTCATGTGAGTCTAGATCGATGTCCCTTCTCATATCAAACCCTAATCTTTCAAGTAATCAAGCTCGAGAATGAGCTTTGAGAACTCCTGGGTGTGGTGTTTTGGTTAAGAGAATCGAGTGTATTCATAGTGAAAGTGAGTCCTTCTTCGCTGTGTGTAATTGTGTCATTCTCTATAACGCTCGAGTGAACCCAAAAGTAATCTTTGTAATCCTCCATGTCTGATTCATACCAGAATTTGGGGTCTAAATTCAATATTTGATGATTATGACATTCCTCTCCATCCTCTTCGATATGATCACGTTACCTATTTGTCTTGAAGTTCTTCTAAAAATGAAGACTTTTTCCACAAACCAACATGTTTTTTACGAAAACTCTTTAAGAGGCCACCAACATACGACCATCGGGTGGGGAAGTTTTCACTCTCAGAAAACATAGAGCGAGGAAAAAACATGCTGAAAATTTCATATGAGGAAGTTTTCACTCTCAGAAACACTTCAAGACAAGTAGGTAACATGACCATGTTATAGAAGATGCAAGAAACTGCCACGATCATCAGGTGTTGAACCCATATTCCAAATCCTTATTCGAATCATAAGCACGAGGTACTATGGGTTTCAAACCCGCTCTTCTCTTCTAAGTCTCTCTCTTAATATGTATATATTAAAAAAGCAAACATATAATATACATAGTTTTAGTTGTTAAAGAGGGAAGCAAATGATGATTATGTTAGATGTTGGGTCAGCTGGTGAGCTTTTTCTTTGAATTAAAATAATTTGAGAAGAACATGCATCATCTTACTATTAATATTTACACATAAAACTTAGTTCAAATACATGAAATTTAATTGGAGAAGCACCAACCCATTTTGTCATATTTTTTAATTTACTTTTTCAATAATTAATTCCACTTTATTTTTGTCTCCTTTAACTGCATCAAGATGGACCTCCTTTTTTTTAAAAAAAAAATAATTATTATTTTGAGAAATATTATTTAATGTGATCAACTTTTTTCACGTGTTGTACTTCCATAGATTTTGAATTTCCCCTTTGAATTAATAATGTTAATATTTAATTACTTCCATATTTTTAATTCTTAGGGAGAAAAAAAAAACAGAGTTAAATTGGGTCGGGTTCATAATAAATTTGCATAACGCTATGATAATGGTTAGGTATTCTTTCGATCTCGAGAAATTTATTTTAATTAATGCATAAAATTAACATAATAAGTGATTTAAATTATTTTTGACCGACCTAATTAATTAGAATATAAAGGTACGATTCACTTTTTTTTTTTTTTTTTAATGGAAAGGTAATGTTCCAAAAGGTGTATTATTTTAACCAAAGCTACTTTTGTCCTTTTCTTCGTATTTTAACCGTTCTTTAGTTTAAAAAAAAAATTAAAGAGTAAGATTCGAACATCTGATTTGTTGATAGAAGTTAATGTATGTTCAGTGTTTAAAGTTTTGAAATGACACTCATAGTCTCGAAAGATTAAAAATTTGTGTACATGTTTGAGATATGCTCAAATTGGTTAATTTGCCTAAGAAATATATATATATAATTTAATAGTATAAAAATAGGTTGAAAATGTCTAAAATATTAAAATACGGACGTGGCTAAAAATATCGAAGTTGGGAGAATTTTGAAAAAATAATTATACGACCGGACCAAAATAATTTGAATTATTAAAATTCACACAATAATGTGATAATTAGAGTATAAACATATCTAAAAGTATATACTCAACAAATCTGGTGAAAACGAACATTTAAAGCTAAAAACATAATATATGATACGATAAACACAAACAATTTCTTATTATAACTTATAATCAGTCAACATGATTGATTCAACGTCACACATGTTATTGAATCACAACAAATCACACCCATCAAATACAAATCTGAAGACATTCACCCTCGATCACGAGATCAGGGTTTGGATCGTTTATATGCGTTTCAAAACAACAAAGAGTTGAACTTTTTCTTGGAGCTTAGAGTTGACTTCCTCATTATAGGGTTCAAGTTTATGGGTGACTCTTTCAAATATTTGGTCAATGATGTTAGGGTCATTGCCAAAATGGTTGGTGAAAATGCCTTCCATTGCAGCCCTGATATGGTCAATCCACTCTCTGGTGTCCACCGCGCCTTCAATCCATGTGGTTGGCGCTGTTAGCTCCATCCTTTCAATGCTAAACTGCCCATTTTGTTCCACTAATTGCCTCATTTCAGCTGGACATGTTATGTATATGGGCAAGTTAAAGGTGTCCACTTCAGCTTCACTCACCAGCCCCTCTTTTGACATGTCAATGAGCGTTGTGGCTAGAAGATCATATAGCAACCCTGATGGTAAGCCAGCAGCTGACACTCCATCAGGGTTCCCTGATGTTATGATCACCATAATCCCTCCTTCCACCAGCTCCTCCGCCCTAGCCCTCAGAAAATCCCCCATATCCTTGGCATATTGTGCTGCATATGCTGCAGCCACCGTCTCCGCCGCCCCGAGGTAATGTATCTTCCCCTTGTTCCACGCTGGCGACCGCTCGTCTAGTACCTCCTCCGGTATCCTGGACAACCAATGCACTGCATACGACGAATGCATAAATTGCACCGAGGACGTCGGGAATAGTCTCTGATGGAATGACCCCGCCACACCAGCTGCAAAGTAGTCTCGATCCTTCGGCATTGATTGGAAAAGCGTGTTGAAATCATTGGTAGTCTGTATTATGTATTATGAGTATGAATGAATTTAAATAATGTAATGATCAACTTTTGATTTAATTTAATCACCTGATCGTTAAAGAAGATTTGAAACTCGGGTAACGGTGAGGTAGGACACACGGATTGGAACGTTCGTTTCATCGATTTTACAATGTGTTGCATTGTCCCGAACGTGTTCGGTCCCGTTGCGCAACCCATGTCGGCAAGAACAAGGGTATTTGAAGGGGATGAAGAAGAGAGCTTTTGAATCTCAAAATTGTGGGCAATTTCTTGATCAATTTTAGCTCTTTCAACGTTTGCAAATAATCTCTGAAACAAAAGGGAAAAGAAGGAATAATATGATGAACATAAAGAGGTGGCCCATGCAGATCCAACACTTGGAAATAAATAATGGCACTTGTGTTTGATCCGTACAGAAAATATTGCTGACAAAGCTGATAAAATCAAGGCACCCCATGAATGTTCTTGGTGTTAATTAGGGCTTCAAATTGGCCAACTTGTTTGTATTTTTTATTACAAAAGTTTACTTTTTTTTGTTCTGACTTTTTAGGAGCATATAATTAAATAAAGGGTTTATTTCAAAGATTGTTTATAGGGTATCTTAGAGTGGGAACAAATTAAAGGTTAGTGGCTAGGGTTTGTAGGGTGGAACAAGGCCTAGGGATAGCTATGTCGGAATAGAATCTTAATATTAAATTTAAGAGGCGAGGTTTCAACGAGAATTGAGATCATGCCGAGATCCCATGTCGGTTGGAGAGGAGAACAAAACATAGAGTGTGACTGGAAGGAAAAGTCCAAAGAATGGACTTTGGCTGTTATAAATAGTATCTGAGCCAAACAGTGAGAGGTGTGCCAAGTGAGGTGGATTGTGAGATCGGGAATGTTCATTCCCCATAAGTGTGTGGAAACCTCTCCCTACTGGATGCGTTGAGGGGAAGTTCAGAAGAGAAAGCCCACAATATCTGGTAGCGGTGAGTTTAGACCGTTACAATTCATGAATCTCATTAGTTAAAGTTTATAGCAAACGGGTTCGAAGAAAAATGAATGAAAAATTGAACCGACATGTCGATGGAGCAAACCTGATAAGAAGAGTTGTTAGAGTAGCTGTGGGTGCCATTGCCTCCATTTGCAGGAGAAGAATGAGAAAACTTGGAGAAAATGGCGTCTTGATTGCATGAATCTTGCAATAACTTAGCCATTTTCAAGGGGGAGAGAGCAAAGAATGTGGAAGAAAGCTCACAATGACTGAGCTTATATAGAACTTCACATTAGGGAAATGCACCAATTATTTGAAGGGCTAAAAACACTGTCAAATAAAAGAATAAAAAATCAATAATTGAAGTGCCAAAAAAAAAAGGGAATAATAATTACACCTAAAATAATACGAAAACATCACAACCACATAACACATCAACCTTTTCAATCGTATCCAACGCTTTTCTATACTTAATGAGATAGAACAAAATAGTTTAGTTACTGTGTTATGAACGATATCTATCTTATTATCGATAGATATCTATGTATGTATGTTGGTTGGTTTGAGCCTTCTTCGGTTTGTTGACTGACCGACTCATTCCTTCATATTGTTTAAGTGGACCCGTTGAAGTTAGCTCGATTGGTTATTTAGTGTCTAATTATTCAATATTTTTTAGGTCAAATTTAAAAGTTAGATTTTGTTTTTATTCAATAATGATGAAATTTTTAAAAGATTAAATTTTAATTTTTTCGAACTATAAGGACTAAATTGTAATTTTAAAATTTGTTTTAATCAATAAAAACAATACATAAACTATTTTCATTTTAGGTGTGCTCTTTTGTTTATTTAATAAAGTAACCCCTATTCTTTTCTAATTTACTCTTTAGCCCCACACTACCTTTTTCATAATTTTTTTTCAAAATATTTATTTCGGTATCGTCTATATATATTATCAAACCGAGTATATTTCAGTATGTGTATCATTAGAAATTGGCGATCTTTTGGTCTATATTAATAAAAACAAAAATTTAATTAAATTTTTTAAAAATACCAGGACTAAAAATAATAGAAACGGAAGTAGATAGATTGAAATAGATATTATCTAATTACTTGGCGCACATGGCATTTTATGGACTCTTGCTATAGTAACAGTTAAATAGTTGGTCCATCCTATAGAATATTAGTGAGCTAGTTTAAAACGTTTCTGTTGTACAATTTTTTATATTGTTTTTCATTTGAATCTCAAATCTTTCGGTTCATGATGTTCTTGCCCTTACCTAAAAAAAGTTTTTGAAATACTGAGTATTAAAATACTTAGTTATGTCACCCTGTTTGTTAAGGTTAGATATGCTTACACGTACGACAACGTGCAAGTGCGACAGTAAGATCTTTGTTTCACAACACAAGTTGTCTAGCTTATAATTAAAATATGTCTAAAAATTAAGGTCGTCGAGCTTGTAACCCTACTTGATTCCAAAAACGTTAGCGTCCACCGTTTGACTAGAAATCAAATATAGGTCTAACTTGTGAGCCAAAAACAAAAATTCACGTCATCTGGCTTATGGTGGTACAATTACCTATCCGTAATATATAACACATGACGTGTATATATATATATATATTTTTTTTTTATTTAAATGAAAAAAAAATTAACGAGTAAGTTTGGTCTAAAAAAGTGTTAAACTCGAGACAAAATTTAAAAATATTAAAAAAAAAAAAAAAGAACCTGGGAGTTTTTGGAGTAGCTATGGGAACCATGGCCTCCATTTGCAGGGCAGGAATCAAGAGGAGCTCCCTTCATACCTCCCAAAATTATCATTTTGGCCATCAATTTGAGGCCATTTTATACCCATACAGGGTCAAATGTGTAATCATACTTTTATTATAAAAAATAAAGCTTTTTAAATATTAGAATCTGATGCTCGGAATATATATATATATATATATATATATATATATATATATATATATATATATAGTATGATATGTTACAAAAATATTTTTATTCTCTCAAAAATTGTAATAATATCTTTCACCGTTTATAAATATTTCGTAACTATCATTTTGATAAAAATTCACTACAATTTTAGAAGAAATTTTGGACAGAGAATTATGAGAGGTCAACAATATTGGAAATTTAATGTATTCATAAAATATTTAAAATTATAAGCTTAATTTTAAAAATAAATAATTAAATAATTATCCAACAGACTTAATTCTTTAATTTTCATTTTCTTTTTAGGTCTTAACAATTTTATAATTTCGAATATAGAGCTAATTATTTAAAATGGTTATTATGAAAGAGAGAATACACCAAAGTTCAAACGAAGACTAATTAAAAAAAATGAAAATTAATTGATTAAAGAAAATTTAATCAATTAAAGAAATTAATTAAAAATTTTGATTTCCAATGATTTGATGGGAATAAATTTATAATTTAAACCTAATGTTTGAATTTTTTTTATGTTTATTGATTTTGATAATTTAACAAAATGATGATGTATTGAGTAACTTATTTTACCTAATATTATTTATTATTAAATAAAAAGGACCACTAAATTGTTGATATACCAACCATAAAAAAAATATATCACAATTTTTTTTTGAATTTTTTATATTTTTGTTATTTTACTATTTATTGATGGGAAGAAAATAATTGAAATAAATTTAATATTAATAAAGATACAATTGAAATTTTTAAAGGACTAGGGACCAAACTAAATAAACTTTTATTTAATTACTCCAATTATTAAATAATATTAAATCTATAAATTGTACGGACAAATATTGTTTTGAACTAAAAAAAATAAAAACAATATTCAAAGGAGGGACCATCAATAAATATTACATTTTTTTAAAGAAAAGAATATTTAAGTTTACTACTAAATACCCCATTGATACATATAAAGTTTTGTAGTTTTGTTCAAATATATAAAAAATAAATATTTAATTAAATAATTGAAAAATTAGAATATTATTTAGTTTATTCGGGAGAATACGACTAATTGCCAAATCTTTATATTTGGGATCGTTGAAATGAAAAATCGTGTGTAGCCTTCTAGAAAAATTTGGAAACTACGACTGAAGACGTAATATTGATGAAAATAAGATTCTCTATAAACTTATGAAAATATTGATGAAAATATGGACGTGTCAATAGAAATTTAATACCTTAGATTTAGTCACTCAATCGTTAAAACAATATGTAACGACCTTAATTTCTAAGAATAAGTAGAGCCATTACTATATACAATGTAATATTTTTATATGGAAACATTTATTTAAAATCGTTCGTAAAATGTTATGGATTTATACATAAACGTGAAGAGCCTCAAAATAAAATAACTAAAAATATTTAATGTAAAATTAAATAAAATTAAATAAAAAATTAAAATATGTTCTAAATTTATATCGGTAAGATCTACGAAATAAAATGCAACTGCTCAGTTGTATTGAACCCCCGTGAGGAGAGTCAGAGTTATCGTGGTTCTGAAAATTTTGGTTTGTGTTCCTGCTGTCTGCTGATATAGGGCATTCCGCAGCCCCAATTAGCCGACCAAATAGCCCTAAAATATACTGTTCGACTGCCGTGGACCCTAAAATTTCCCTACTTCGGGAAATCTTCGGCTTCCATTCAGGAAGGTTCACACAGCCCTAGATCTTTCTCATCGATCGGATCCTCTTTGGAAGTTATTGATGTTTGTTAGGGCTCTAACGAGTTAATTGTTTACCCACACGGCTCAATTCTCCCAATGTTCTTCTCCAATCTCCGATCGACGGCGAATGCAATGGGCACTCGGGCTTAGCGTTCCGTTGAGGTGCTGCTTGAATTGCTTATTCTAGAGGTACGCCTTCTCCTCCGACAACTTCGTTGAATTTCAGTTTAGTGGTGTTGGACTCTGAATTATGCCCATGTTTAGTGAAATTCAGCTAGATTGGGGTCCTTTCGCGATAATTACTTTTAATCTAGGGGGCTAAATGACTTCATTGTAATTTAGTCACTATTCGAAATTTTACTTGCGTACGGGTTCAGTGATTTCTTTCTTTATAGGGGTCTTCAATGTAGTTTGGTTGCTCATAGAAATTTAACCTGCAAACGGGCCGAGCAGCTCTCTCTTTGTTGGTGTACAACTTTTGACAAATTCGTTGATTTCCAGTCTAGTGGTTTTGAACTAATGGACTCTATGAACTGTCCCCCATTTTAATTAAATTCAACTAGATTGTGATATTTTCGTTTGAATTGTAGTTTATATATATATATATTTTAACAAGACTCGTATTAATTTGAAGCAGTCTCTTGACTTCTAAGCAATTTAGTTGTTCTTCTAAGTTTTACTTGTATGCGGAGTATCCCTTGTACATATAGCTAGTATGTTCAGCAATTGCTATGTAGTTTGACAGTGTAGAGACTGATATGAATATTTGAATGCTTCGTAGTTGGTTTATTTATATTATTCCTGCTTGCCATATATGTATGATTGGTCGCTTGGTGTTCCTGTTTCGAAAACACTAATTGATATTTTTCTCGTTTCCGAAGGTTTTTTACTAGAAAAAGTAAATAATGGGCCTATCGACTGCCACTACTTCTGTTTCTGAGGCCATTCAGCTCTGTGTATTTGATTCAAGGAGAGGACAACAAGAGGGACAAGAGCTGGATAAGATATTATTTTTCTATCCAGCTGATTTACCCTTTACAAAACAATTATATATCATTGGGCTCAGCGAAGGACTTATCACATTTACAAGGTCAGTATCATTCTTTGTTCTATTTTTCAAAAATAGGTATCCATCATGCATAGATATTTGAAGAGCAGATATAAGAAATAAGAATGCCAGAAATTTCTCAAAGAATGTTGGGAACTAGCAACAAAATAAGCAAAGACACTTTTTTTTTGGAGTAAAATTTCGTGCATTGGTGATATAGTTAGTTTGTGACTTTTTTGTTTCTTCCATTCACGGGGCCAAACATGATTATACTTCTGTTTTGTTTTGTTTTCTTTCTTCCCCCCTTTTTGCAAATGTTTTTTTCAATTCTACTTGTACATGTAATCACTGCATGAAAGACAAATGAAACTATAATGGATGCATATTTTTCTTTTGGGCTGAAAATAATTCTTTCACTAAACAAGGTCCTTGTGAACTCCTCAATTACGTTCTTTAGTAAGATATTTAGGGAGTTACTTAATTACGGTTGATTAGTTTTAATGAGATAACAAAGTAAACCCAGTCGATTTAAGTTCTGCTCAAAGATACTTCAATATATTCACATTTCTTGCCTGAGTTGGTAGTTAAATGAAGAATGAAAACTTCATGCAGAACATTCTCCCCAGAGGCTGCTTGTGAGGTCATTGAAGCAGAGAAGCACTCTCATGTATTTTTTGAGGCAGAGCAAGATATATGGATGATTTTGGTACAGTTTTGTTCTAATTAATGTATCAGTAAATGGTAGTAGTACTATTTTGTTTGGGGATCACTACATTCAGATGGTCACATCTTTTATGTTTTATCATCAATGCAAGTAACATGCTAGTCTGGTGTCACTCAGATGGAAGCAATGTTAATATGGTTAAATAATTTTCTTACATGCTACTTTAAATCGTTGATTGCTTTAATTGTCCTGAATTTCATATAATATCTAATGTGTTATCCTAGAATTCTGAGTTACTTTCAGAAATTAGATTTTTGTTTATCTTATTGATTGGTGACATCTCTTTTTGCGTTGACATATGTTTAGATTAAATGCTTACATTTTACTCGTTGGAATTAAAGGTTTTCCATTTACCAAGTTTCTTTTTGAGAAAAAAAAAAAAAAAATTCCTCACTATTTTTCTTTGGTCTCTTTTGTTTCAATCATGTGTACTTGCAACTTACCTGTGCAGTGTTTTCAGTCATGCATTTTGTTGTTCTCAACTGCTCTTTTGTTCTCCTAAAGAACCATCTTAAACTTTAATTGCTCTGTATTTCTAATTAATTATCTATGTTAGGGTAGGTAGTGGAGAAAAATAAGGAGTTAGAAGCAATTTGGCGGATGGATGCATTGCAGAAGCTTCTTAAGGAAATCCACTCTCTTTTTCTAATGTTTCACGGATCTATAAGGTTATTACTTGAGAAAGAACCGACAGGAGAAGCTTCCAGATCACATTTGTATTCCTTCATCACTGATTATCTGAATGGTAAGTCATTTGCTGCCACTTTTCAGCTAAAATGTTTTTCATGAAGTCAAGTACTTACTACCTTTGTTTCAAAACATTTCATTGTAAGTTACTAATTGTCAGCATGTGAAAAGCGGTCTGCATTGGATAGGTGCTGCTGTGGTAATATTGAAATTGCTGATTATCAAGATTGGGATTGAAATTGCTGCATTTCATGCCTAATTCCTTTCTTTCTTTCGAGACAGATTTTCTTGTTGGAAAGAAACTACAGTTACCATCATTTGTAGACTGTTTAAAGGAACGTGGAACTGTACAGATGCTGACCATAGGGCGAGATGCTGCCATTGAAGTTCAGGTTTGTCCCTGTAAAAAAAAAAAAAAGCTCCAAAAATTCGTATGTGTTTGATGCAATGCACTTAATTAATTAATTAATTTATTTTTTTTGTTCCCCTAGATTCACAGTTTTTTTTTTTTTTTTTCCTTAATAAGAAACAGAGAGAATAGTCTTAATACAAAATCAGGAGGAAGAAACACAAGGATAGTCTTCCAATCATTAATAAGCATGGATATAGTTGCCAGAGACTTGTTAAAAAGGAAGAACTGCTCCTGAGGGGCCTGCCCTTTCCTTGTGTTACTTTTTGAATCTCTTTATGCTATTTCACTTAGTGTTGTCAAGCT